TTTCTCTCAGGGCTTTTATCATCTCTGGTGTGAGTTTAAAATATAAGTGTGTTAGCACTGTGCTGATTATCCCTAATATGAATAAATGTTTATTTATTCAATGTTTCTCTTCTTTAATACGCAATTGAAGTTATGCTATTCATGGATAAAAAAAATCGTGATAAAATCGAAATCGCGATAAAATATTGGAAAAATCGTGATATGGCAAAAATAGAATATCGCCCAGCCCTACTTTCTACTATTTAGTTTTCTGACACAACCAATAAAACAAACAAAAAAAAAGATTTTTTATGCATATTTCTTAATTTATACTATAGTTAAATTACAATAGTTATTATTTATGCAACCATACAATTATTTTAGGTCTACATTTTTATTTGTCATAATGAGATTAAGAAATTCAAAGTGTACCTAACGCCAATGTATTATAGCATCCAAATACGTCTCTAGATTAGTGCCCTTGAGACCCTGCAGTCGGTGTTGAGGGCCACACCTGCAGGAGAGAGGCCCAAGATGTGACTCTATTAAATGTCTCCTTTCTGTCCATTTTAAAGTAAGACCATTTTATGAAGAGAAATTTTGACAATATTGTCTTTTGGGTCAAATCTTGACAATAAGTTCTGAACAATCTCACGCAAGGTTGCAAGCTCTCCCTCAGATGATGCCTTTGATGTCCACATTTTAGCTCAATTTCTGTGAAGTTGAGTTGTTGCCTTCATTGTATTGGCTCTGTGGAGCTAACAGACGGATAAAAACACTCGGGTGATAAAATGAATGTGTTATTGCTTAATACACGAGTGGTTCTCTACTTGAAAATGGATTTGTTCATCCTGGCGTCCTGTTCTTGCAAAACTTATTGGATTATTTTGTTTAGTTTCATGGCTCGGTTATTTAAAAAGATCTAGTCTGTGTTTGAAACTGAAGAAAAGCTTGTCCTTGACAGATAATGATTCAAAGAAGAAGTAGAGCGTTTTGATTGTTGTCCTGCTTTAACCGTGACATGGACTAAACTCTGGAGTCTGGCTCCTGTCAGAACTGGCATCTTATCGTAACGAGGCAGGATATTCCTGCAGCCAGTGGGTCATCCTCCACTTCTCAGTGACATCCAGTTTATAGTAAAATAAAACAGACAGCAGAGCATTTCATGTTACATGTAGAATTACAGTTACATACATGTGGGACATTATGTTATCGGTTGTAGAATTAACATTTATGGCTGTCGTGTTTGTCCGCAGTTCTGAAGCTGCCTTGCTTTATGGCTTCTGCCTCAAGTGTCTATTTAATTGCGGATGACAGTGGAGCAGAATCACAAAAAACATTTGTAAAGATAAAGATATATGTAATATTTGCCAAACATTGTTCTTTCTGTTTTTTTTCTTGAAGACGAAAGGGTTTATTTTAGAAAATGAATGCTTCGCAAGAACAACGCGTGGTGTTAGGCCGTTAAAAGGACTCAAACTAAAGTGTTTTTCTAAGCCTTTGTGGCACATTAAGAAGAAATTTAAAGAATTTTGACTTCGCCCTTTTCCAGTTACTCAAACACAACAGCCTAGGAGTGGTTAGTCCACAAATATCTTTCAGAACACTTGAAGAGTAGAGCTAATCCGTGAGGTGAGGCGAATGCTTTTCAGGAGTTTAATAGTTTGTCAAACTGAGGTTGCTGGTTTGATTCTAGCTCCCTCGGGTATCAGATGATCTTTGGACAAGACACCAAACTCCACTTTGTCCTCATCTCTGCAAATCTGTGTTTTGTAGTTCTCTAAAAGTCCTTTGGACAATCCAGACATCAACCTGTTCCACCCTTAAAGTACGGCAGTGGTTGTGCCATTATGTGGACCAGTTCGTCTTCACTCCAGGTTGAATGGTTTGACGTTGTGGAAGAAATTAATTCTTAGAAGTTGAAGAGACAGACTGTTACTGGAAATGTCTATTTTCAGATTTGTGCATGTGGTTGATCATGGTAGTCACAAGCAACTTTAGCATAACTGTTTTGGCGCAGGCTTTCAATTGCTGCTGTCAGCTAAAACGTGTTTGTTTTAGAGATGTTTTTGAGTGTAGAAACCACAGCAGTAGTTTGTTCTTTTATAAACTATTTCAGGTAGTTATTTTATCAAACATTCTACTTTTGATGTGTAAATATAAATGTTCTTTGATTTAGTCATTAACCTGATAGAGTGGCCATGTTTTAGAGTTTAAAACGGTAATAAATGTGGACAGCAACATTGAGTGGGAAATGGTAACAAGTGAATTGTGTTTTAGCCCTGTGATGGTTTTATTTGTGCTAAATGTTCATTTAAACATTAAACACACTGGTGTTGAGGTTTCCCTGACCCTAGTTCAGCTCCGGAAAGCTGTTTTTGTTGTTTTCAGTCTTTCCAGTTTGTTTAGTATTTGCAAGAGTTCTAAAAATAAACACGACTCTCATAATCGCTCTGCTCTCTCTTTCTGTCGGACAGGAAGTTGTCTTGTTCTTCACTCTAAACATTTGCTTCCTGTTTCACACGTTCTCGTTTAGAGCTGCTGCACGCTCCTTCAGCTGTCTTAATCTGTAGTTTGCATTTCACGTGTTCCCTCAGTGGTTTGTGATGGGAGCACAAGTCTGTTTCATGCCCAGGTAGGTAAATGAACAGATGCACATTTGCACACTTTAGTTTTCTGTTTCTCGCACAGTGAAACTGTTGTGCTGCAGAACAGTGCTGCGATTTAATTCTGAGGACAGATCAGCAGAATGCAATAAATCTTTATCTAATAATAGTTTATTAAATAAAATGAATGTTGGACTTTTAACTAGTTCTAATCAAATTACTTTTGCACTTTCCCGTCAGAGATTTTTAGTTTTTACTATTTAAACCAAGCCATGCAGTTTCAGAGGGAAAAGAGATAAAGTTCTTTGACACCTACTTGCTTTATATTAGATTGAAAAGCAATGTTAAAAAAAGTTTCAACTTCTAGCATTCATCAGGGTCATCCACAATATTTAACACTCTGAATGAAATAAACAGGCACAAGACAGAAATAAATATATAGGTGACTAATTAATGACTTCAACATCACTAAATTTATCAGTGGGAATGAAAAGGGTAAGACGTTTAAGAAAATACGTTTTACACAAACTAATAGTCTCTTGATTGGAGAGAAAATCCATCCATCCACCACCTCAGACTGTTTTTGAGGAGGAGGAGGAGGAGCGGTTCTACTCCAGGCTCTCCTTGGATGGCGGATCTCCTTGCCCTACAGAGGAAGTTTATTTTGAAGGGATACTTAGCAACTTTTTCATGTTTTGAAATAATTTTCTTTAGCCAGTATGCGCTAAAATGACCCTTCAGGGTTAAGGAACAGCCACCCAGTGCCTATCACCCCCCTGTGGCCAGAATATTCCACTTCCGCTGCAGGCTGCTTCCAGCACGTTTCCTGCATGCTTTAGATCACGAACACAGCTGATTTGTTTAACTTGGTGAAGAATAATACACTAAGAATGTCTGGGAGACATTTCGGTTGTTAGATTAAGGTGTTAAAAAGACAAACTCACAGTGAGGAGATGGGTTTTGCTTTTGGCTCCGCAAACAGACACTAGGGGGTGCTAAAAGCTTGCCAAAACTGCCTAGTTCCCCTTTAATCACTTTAAGATGAGGGCTGCAATGTGAACCAACTGGGAAATTGGGACTTTCTCATTAAAGTTTTATTCTTTTTTTTCACTGACACAGGAGCTTTTACATAGATCATTTTACATGGGCATCATGGAAGTTTCATTGCACCTTTTTACAGGAAATGAAATTTTTATATGTACATGTCCTCAGTCTAAATTAAAGGACTAAAATTTGAGAATTTATGCAAGATCCCCGTCTAAAGTTAGCTTGTAAATGACTAGTTGATGCTTTTCAGACGTTTCAGGACATGAGTTAACTCTGACCTCCTTCCACCTTGTTTAGGCACTTCCAACATATTTTTACATCCGGTATGACGTTTATAGACCTGGTGATCAGTCCACTTGTAGCATTTGCATGGAAGCTGATGTCGGGAGGTGGAAAACATGTGGTCAGCTCTGAGTGCAGGCAAAACAAGGCATCCTTAAAACAGCAAATCCATCAAAGGAAACCATCAAAGAGCCCTCTGGTGACCTGGAACATGCACAAGCAAGTGAAGAAAGTTGACTCTACCATTAAAGGAAATACCTCACAAGAATAAATACAAAAGGTTCAACACAAAGCGTTCAGAATAGAAAGGCTAGATAAGACGATGCCAAAACGTGTCTAAAAAAGGCAAAGGAGTGTTGGAACCACTTTGAACTAATTTACACCAGAACCAACAAGCAAGCATGGAGCATTGTGAGATTTGTATGCTGCACTTGATTCACTAATGTTTTCATCAAACTCTTTCAAATGATTGTTTTTAGTTTGGTTAAGTTTCCCATCTTAAAACCAGTTCAGAACAAGTTATCATGTTCTGACTTCCATGAGCTTTCCATGCTTTTGTCTTCGCATATGAGCTAAATCCACCCAGAGGGACAGAGACGTCCCTTGGGTCACGTCTGTCCGGACCTTGATGTCCTCAAATGAAAAGAAAACAGCCTGAAATGGTTGAAAACCAACATTGTTTTGAAACATGAAACAAGCAAAGCAAGATAATATAAAAATCGTAGACATTTAACCCATAAATGGTATTATCCAGGTTTGTAAGAGCCTTGTAAAGATGGATGGATCCCAGTCCAAGCTGAAAGCTCCTGCTGCTGGTATTTCAGCAGCGTGTATCTGCTGGTGACTACGTGGCTCATCTCACTTTCTCCTCCCTCCTGTGGTGCTAATCTAGATAACCGTTTTAACCACTGAGCCTGAAGCCTCTTTTTACATTCACTCAAACACAAAGCAACAATATTCTTGTTTGTTAATAAAACTCCACTATCAAAATAACCACTCTTGAATACTTCTTGTTGTTTGATTTAATGACTTCTAGTCACTTGTGTGTTAATGCCTGATGTTTAAATAGATTCTGTCTTTCTGCAGGTATGTTTTCATTCCAGCTGATGGTCTTCTTACTGATCTCAACGATAAGGGGGAATGAAGAGTGGACCTGTGGAAATAAAAACAGACACTGCTGCAAGTAGGTTATTTTCCTTTCACAAATGTAAATTGCTTAAGTGTTTGCTGAGAATGGGGAGAAACCTTTGCACTATGTGATAAAAGTTTACTCAGTCCTAGCCTCTTGTTATCACAAGTCGAGTTGACCCCTGAGGTTATGCGTGTTTAAACTCACCCAGTTTGTTTTTAGTCTGTTAGCTGAAGAATTGTCAGACCTGACTGACGGCATCTACGCCGTCTCTCTTTGATTGATCCTCAGATTCCAACAAAGAGCCTGTCTACATGGCTTGTGTGCGGCGTCAAGTATTTGCCAAGAGCAGAGAGTCCCAAATACAAGGGTCCAACCCAAAGTCCAGTGACCCCCCTGACACCCAGCAAAGCCAAAGTAACGGGGACACCCAGGCACACTCTGAAGGAACAGGTTGGGATGAGTTCAAGTGTCAAAGACATTGCTCATTTTTCAGAATGTTTTACCCAAAATTTTAATAAAATCAACATTTTAGTAAAAAAAAATACCTGAACTAGACTCTATTTCTGATCTGTGCCACTTCAGTTTTGACCTTGATTAGAAGAATTTATTGACCTCCGGGGTAGTCTAATGGATGGGACACACTTCCAGGTCAAATCAGCGTCTTTAGCAACCCTTTCTATGTACATATGTACATCATAAGAAAGCTAGGATTCTTGGAATTCCAATGATTCATTCCAATCAACAATAGAGGCATCCAAAATGCCTAACCCACCATTTGAATCCTCTAATCGTTGCCAGATTCATGAAAAATTATATTTTTACACTCACAAGGGTCCAATAAAAGTACTCCATTAAAAAAGGTAATTCACAAGTCTTATGTCTACAATGTAATTTGCTGTTGAAAAATAATTAAACGTATCTTCCAAGTTCTCCAAACTGATAATTCTCTTGAGTTCTGTCAGCTGCAGGTAGGATACTGAATTGTGCTCACCTGAGAAGTTGAGACATTGTGAAGTCTGGCGTGTTGCAGTTATAATATATAGTAATCCCTATCAAACATATGCTGACTTATCACTTTAATATTTGTATTTTCCATCAGGTCAAGATCCAAACAAGATAGTAAGCTGGCTCTTGGATTGCAGGTACAGTATCCATTCACCACCTTTGTGGGTAAAATGTTCACTTTATTTAAAATTAAATAATTAAGAACAGCTTTCTGTGAGTTAGAAATTTCCGTTGATCGTTTTGGAATTTCATTGAATTAATCAAAAAAAAAATTCTAATGGATAATTCACATATCACAGGGATTGGGTATTGACCCTTCGTGTATACGTCACCTGATCACATGGATCCAACATGTTGGTCATAAACGGTGAATTACAGAAGTAGTAGAAGAAGAAACAATCTTTTATAAACACATCTCAAGATAAAAATCACGAGGTGCTTCATAAATGAAAAAAAGGATTAAAAATGATTAAAACTATATTATTAAAACGGAAAAAGTAAAAATTGTGATTTAAAAAAATGTGTGGAAAGGGAAAATGAGTTAGAAAAAGGCAATCAGTGGATCCTGAGAAAGGCAGAATTCGTAGAAAGAGCAGAATGATGAGTAGGTAGGGATGAAGAATCAACCAAAGGTCACACCAAAGCCAGCTTAAAAAGGCGAGTCTTCAGCTGCTTGTTAAAGGAGACCACTGAGTCCACTGATCTCAGGCTCTGGGGGAGAGAGTTCCAGAGTCTGGGGACCACAGCAGCAAATTATCTGTCACCTTTGGTCTTTAGCCTGGTGCTGCACAACCAGTACGCTAGATCCAGGGGAATAAAGACAAAGACCCAGGTTAGAAATCTTGGTGTTATCATTGACTCCGACCTGAGCTTCTCTGGACATATTAAGACTATAACTAAATCAGCGTTTTATCATCTTCATCAAATATCAAGAGTCAGAGGTCTCATGTCCAGACCAGACTTGGAGAAACGTATTCATGCTAGGGTTATCACGGTGTGAAAATTGAACCTCACGGTTATTGTGACCAAAATTACCACGGTTTTTGGTATTATCGCGGTATTTTTTTTAAACGTGCTACATTTTCACACAATTAAATAAACCCTGTATGTCAGGAAATATTGTCCTCAGTTTGTGTCAAAATTTTGCCTAAAATGTGCTATTTTGTAATTATGTTGTTTATTTGTTTACATTTTTTCCCTTTTTGTTTTTAAAATACCAATATTTTCCCACAACTTCTTATTTTTTGTCTGTTTGATGTCATCATTTTAGAAAAATTAGATAAGATGATACTCAGTACTCAAGTAGCCTTCTAATCGGATACTTTTTTACCCTTGAGTAATAAACCCTATATTAGGAAAATATTGTCCTCGGTTTGTGTCCTTCCAGTGAGCTTTGCAGATGTGGGAAAATGTCATCAGGCAGTAATCATTGTTAAATTCATAATTATTCTCGGAGAGAGACCAACTCTTATCTGCCCCTGGGAGCCCCGTAATGCATAGCATCATTTCAACATGGGGGTGTCCGCGACACGGTTTATATGCAGGTAGCGGCGCTGCGGCTGCTTTATATAGCGACTCGTTGCTTTCTCCCTCAACCCAAATCCTCGGATCACGCATTTTAGCTAAAACGCTAACGTTAGCTTACCTTGTGTTGACTGTAGAGTTGTGGATGATGGTCACGCAGATGTGTCATGAGATTTGAAGCGTTGCTGCCTTTCACAGACACTTTTTCTGCATGTGCTGCAAACAGGATAGCCGTCTTCTATAAACTGTCCCTCGGCATTCTTCAAATATCCAAAAGATGCCCGTACTTCCCACTTTGTCTTCTTTGAGGGATAAAAATGTCTTCCTGAGCGCTGCTGTCTCCTCCTTTGACCATTATTTCAGCTTTAGCTTCAAGAAAGTTTTTGTTGTAAACAACAAAGCGCGCATGTGCCGCCAGCAACTTCAGCAGATGATACGGTGGCTAGTAAGGGTCACCGCGCCTACATCGCAGCCACGGTAATCCCACCAAGATAATATATTTTTTTAAAAACAAGACGGTTATTATTATTGTCAACTTTTTTACTGGGGTTTACCGCTACACCGGTTACCGTGACAACCCTAATTCATGCTTTTATTTCTAGTCAGCTGGACTACTGCAATGGTCTCCTAACTGGTCTTTTTTAAGCTGTGAAGCAACTGCAGCTTGTTCAGAATGCTGCTGCTGGAGCCTTAACAAGAACTAAGAGAACGGAGCACATCACTCCTGTTCTTAGATCCCTATCCTGGTCGCCAATAAACTACAGGATAGATTTCAAAGTGTTCCTATTATTTTATAAATTACTCAATGGCATGGGGCCAATATACTTGTCCAATCTCATTCCTGTATACGCACCCAATAGCGCTCTGAGATCCTTAGGTAACAATCAGCTGGTAGAACCTTGGATCAGAACAAAACATGGTGGAGATGCATTTAGCTACTATTCTGCTCACATATGGAATCAGCTTCCCCATGACCTCCGATCTGCCCCAACCGTAGTGTTGTTTAAAACCAAACTAAAAACCATAATGTACTCATCAGCCTTTAAATGAACTGTTTCTTTCTCATGCGTCATCTCCACTGTAATCTGCGCTGCAATTTGGCTTCTCCTTTAGCTCTAAACTGTAATTCCACTTGTGTGTATTTTAATTTATGTTTTTATGTGTTTTTATATCATGTCCTGATAATTGTAAAGCGCATTGAATAGCCTCTGTGTTTGAAATGTGCTCCATAAATAAAGCTGCCTTGCCTTGCCTTTGGTCACTGGACCTCAGGGACCTGTTTTGAGTATTGGATGGAGGGCAAAAGTGGACAGTGAGGTTGGTTATTTTTGCCAGTTTGGCCTGGTTTCTCCAAGTTCAGGCCCAGTTCACTTGTAGGTAGACTTAGCACACCTAGGTAGGGCTCATAGAGAGCAGTATTTACAAAAGTTAAGAGTTAGCTAGCTTACAAACATTAGCTTACGTTTTCTTTGCTGCTGTTCAGATATAAACACGTTGCCGACTTTGCTGGAATTTACCCCGCTGGATTTATGACATTATTTGATTAACAATGCTTCACTTTACACCGGAGATGATTAAAAAATAAATAAAAAAGTCCGGATCTCAACCAGTTTTTGTTGCTGGCAGGGTCATCATGACCAGCTGCTACTCTCACGCCGGGGAGACGAGATATCGATAACAGCGAAGCTCATCATGCAAAATAAATTACGCAATCCTACATTGAGACAATGTCGTTAGTTTCTAGTAATTCACTATAGTGTAAAATAACACGTCCTCCATAGAGAAAAATAGGATTATCAATACTAAAGAAGTAATAAAATCACTTTACATTTATCATTTCAGCTCTGTCACAGTCAGTCCTTCTCTTGCTCATGAAATATATGAATGCTAATCTCATCTGGTAAAAAGTGTTTACCTCAGATATGAAAATACTTGAGGGTTGCTAGTCTGTCAAATTTACCACTGCCATCCATCCCTGTCTTCTGTCTCCATCAAAGTTATTAGATAAGTTGAGTTAACACCCTTGTCTGTTAGTGCAGCTAACCGTGCAGCAAACTATTACCATTTTACTGTGAAAACAAAATAAAACTGCAAACTAACTTGTTTTGGACTAGCTTAACTGGGTTTTAATGGACATAAATGGTTCCTTTGATGTCCACCATGACAAAAGAGGCATACCCATTAGTAGCATGATGCCATATGCAAAGGGTCAATAAACAAAATGAATTTTATGGTGAAATCTTGAGGTATCTGCGTTTAAAAGGGTTTTTTTCTGTGGTTATTGTTGGTTTGACACTCAACCCACACCTAGTCATAAAACACACCAGACTTCAGAGTGCTGGCATACACATTCACACAAACAAATGTGAGCCTACACCCATCGATAGGGCCCATAGAGCTGTCAAGGCAAAGTCTGAGGCAGAGAAGGAAAGGAGGAAGACAGAAGACAGAAAGTGTGGCAGAAAAGGAAGGAAGAGTAAACAGAGGAGGGGTTCCTTCTACTGAGTCAACATGATTATCACACACATACAATTTCAACCACCGTCACTCAAAACCCTGACATACACACTACGTTGTGGCTGCAGTTGCAATATACAGCAATCTGAGATTCCCCTGTTGCTACAGCAACAGCTGCAGGGCTGGGGCATGAGGGCAACAGAACTGCTTGTGCAAAGTGGGAAGACAAGAAGTACTGCAGCTGCACATAATTGCACAAGTTGCACAACCACTGGTGTTGTGGTAAGTGATCTGAAGTTTGTCCCTTTTGATAAGAACTCTAGCTGGTATTTCTAGCAACCAGCTGTTGGAGGCAGTTCAGACCAGCTAATCCACAGCTACTTTCAGCCAGTTGTAGTTATTGCCAGTAAAACCTAAAATCTGACTGTTTCATAAAGAGAATTTGAATCTTTGGATCCAACCATGCAAAATATGCTATTTATCCCTTTTTCCAAGTGGTCTTAAACTTTTGATCGGGACTGTATGTTTGCAAAATTATTCAACTATTGTGCAAAAGTATTTCGTAACTAAATGGAAATGAGGATTTTTGACTTGTCACTCGTTCTTTTTCATCTTTTAAAGTAAGACAAAAAAAATTTAAATATCCCAAGATTTAGAAATAAGCTTTCTTTTAATAATAATAAAAAAGCATGTGACCCTTTCACCATACCCGGTGTAGAAGAAAAGGAAGGATCCTGTCTGCTCATATCAATGAAAAGCCCAAGTGCAAATCGTACAAACCATTTGAAACATACGCCGTTCTTGAGCTGACGCCATCTTTGTAGTTTTTCTCCGTTGCAGCTCTCGTGCCATGCCCACCATTGACTCTCTTCAAGCACTTCATAAAAATCTGCTGGGTTGTTTAACTGCATTATGTGTTGAAGGAAGGGTCTAATAAAACTGGCTTGAGGTTGATTTTGAGTGGAGATGTAGCAATACCAGCCATGCCAACACCACTGAGTGTCACTGGCTTTACATAAACTAATGAGCATTGCACAAAGTCTCATGAGTCATGTTGGGTGGTGAGTTAGCAGGTTACCTGGCTCATTTAAAGATACGAGTAGATAAGCATGAGAGACGTGGACACTTGCTGCCAATTACATTCCGTGCAAAAAATCAACAAATCAGGGATCCCATAAAAAAGTTAATCTGGTTTTGTTCTAAAGGAAGTGTTTGCAGGAACTGTCCTGCAATGAATGCTTTAACAGGACTTTTTGTGGAATATTTTTTTGTTTAGAATGAGTTTATGGTTTTAAGTTAATGTTTAACTCTGATGATATGTGTGTCTCTTGTCCAGCACTCCTAACAGAGGCTCTATAGATGATCAGAGTGCTTCCCTTTGCAGAGGTAATCCGTGTCTTCTGTTTATTTTTCGCATCACATTTATTCTTTGAACGTCAGCTAAAACCAACTTGTTTAAAGTGAAATTAGGTTGAGTGCCACTGTGTCAACACAACCCTAATTCAGTGTGTGTACTCTGTTTGTGCGTGTGAACAGGAGCGCTGAAGAACGGCTGCAGCTTTGAAGATGACCTTTCATTGGGAGCTGAAGGTCAGTTTACAGCAAATCTTACCAAACACATTTAAGCGGCCATTTCTGCTGATTGTGATAGTTTCCTCTAAGTTGGTTTTTCTTAAGATTCTCGGGTTTTTATCTCCGGAACCAAAAACAGCAATGAAATACTACAGGATTTTAGTTTGAATGTTTTTTCCTTTCAAAATCACACCTGGTTTCTTGTTGTATTTTAATGGAACTGTTACAGCAACAATTGCAGGCCTGGTGTGATTAAAGTGATATAAAACCCTTTTTAAACAACTTTATGGGGATGTTTTTTAGAAAATGCCAATCAAAGTGATTTTGTGTGACCTTGGCATTTGTTTTCTGATGAGTTCTGGTCCTGTTTGCATGACCCTCAAGTTCTGATGCTTCTAGGGGTTTTCCATGAGTAATAACTCTGAACAACTCAGATCGGTTTGGCACGGTTTCAAGCTGTTTCCATTTTCAGTACCTGCTTCGATGAGGTTTATACCAGAACTCAATGTTCTGGATTATGTTTAATTTCATTTTTTGCTTCTACAATAAACCAAACCATTAAAATGAAAGTTACAAAATCAGCAGGTGTTCATATGAATTTTGTGTCCCCACACTGTACCTATGCATATCAGTGAGTCACATTTTCAGATCTCAGAGTCAACTGCAACAGAGCGTCTTGCACCATCGCGCTTCATTCCCGAGTCTTTTTTTTTCCTCGTGAGGGAAAAATCAACAGTTGCAGACGTGTGGAAAGACACTGCATGCGTGACTACCTTCCTCTAAGACCGTGTGTGCACACGCTTCCATCGTTCTTGTGATCTGCTGTGAAAACATTAGTGTGTGCAGCTCTGATGGGAAGGAGGTGTTCAGATCTCTGAGATAACAGTAGCCAGCAATAACCCGGCTCTGTTTGTTCTCACAGGTCAGCTGGTGCACTTTGAAGCTCAAAAGATGCTAATTTAGTAGATGTTTCATGTAGATTTATTCTGAAACATCCTTGACAGACACTGCAGTCCTGAGACAAAACAAGTTTATCTTATAGCGTTTAACAACTTTTCATGTTGTTTTTATAAATTGTCTTTTTGTTTGGGGACATTGAATCTAAAAAAGGAAAGTTTGTGTTATTAGTGACTTTCTAGATGAAATTTAAATTGTAGAAAGTATTTTTACAGATTTCTAATGCCATGGTAGTTTTGTTAAAATGGACAAAACTAACATTAAACTGCCTTTTCTTAAAATAGACATTGTTCAGAAATTTGAACTACTTGTTGGAAAAATCAAATCTTCCGTTCAATATCAGCCAACGTGCACAAACAAGTAAAGTGTTTGCATGTTCAAACAGACTCGACAGTGGCATGACAAGTTAATGGGACAGGTTTTTAAAACTCATATGGTGTATTTACTCATTACTTAAGCAAACTGGTGCTCTTTTGTGACCGTCTCACTGCACTTTGAGTTAAGTTTTAAGTGCCTTGATTGTGCTGAGAAGGATATTTGACAGAGGTGGCTGATGTCCTCATCTTGGGTCGTGCCGTGTATGAACAGATTGACCACAATGATGTCAAACATTATGAAGACACAGGGTAGGGAAAGATTAAAGGATTAAATGTAAAATGGGATGGAAGTGAACTTGTAAATTTAACATTCAGAGTAAATTAAAGGTGAAGATGGAAAAGAAAAAGTACTGTTCCAAATAAAGCTCTCTTAATCCAGCTGTCTGTCGAAGAATAATAATGCTGGTTTCACCAGAAATTAGGTGGGGAAAGAAACAAACACACACGGTTGCAGGGTAACAGGTCCCAACATGCTCCTTTATAAAAGAAGACATCAGTCGTAGCACAGGGTGAGGACTTTCAGTTCAGTTGCCCTTCTTCCAATTAGGTGAATTAGTGAAGCTGTGTTTATATAGGTTTTATATAGGTTTTGAATGCAAACAAGTTCATGGTGTAGGTACCAGATCTGCTCGGGCTGCCTGCGCCTGCCAATGTCGTCACTCAAGATGATTGGCTGAACGTAGGACTTATGGAAGTTACGTTACCACGTTTGTAAAAGTTACTTTAGCGCGTTGACAACTTTAGATTTTGGTTGTTTCAAACAAATTTGCGGTTGTAGTCCAAAAAAAGTTCAGGAAAAAATGTTTGTATTGCCAAATGAAATGTACAAAACAAGTGAAATGATCAATTGATAAATGGAGACCCTCAGCAGCTCTGATTTTGATGATTAAAAAATGAAATAAAAAATTAAAGAACTTTACTGAACAAAAGGCAAGTTTACCACATTTGAATAAATGAATGAATGGGTTTATTTACGGAAGAACTAAGCAAATCTACAGAATAATTCCACATTAATACAAATGGAAAATGCTGTTAAATATGTAAATACATTCAAAAATGTTCACATATAAGAACTGTTTGCCATTCTGATGTTGTTTTCACGTAGTTTCATATTCTTTACAAAGCTAAGACAGTATGGTGTTTTATTAAAAAAATTACGGTTATAAAGAATACATTTAGGCAGTAAGAATCATGAATTTCATTTAAAGAAACTGCTAAAATCTTCCCCAAAGCAAATATATGCGAAAGGATGTCAAAAAAGAGATGCATTGTATTTTGACCGAGTGGATTTGCCATAGAATTTGGAAAGTGCAGTACCCGAGCCGATCTGGCAACCCGAGCAGATGTGGTACCTGCAACGGAACACTCAGCCCTCCCCTCGGACATCTTCCCTGAGATGCTTCTGCTGGAACCGGACACCTGCATTTCAAGAGGAAACCAGATGATGCTTAACACCGACTGTTTTTAAGGTCCATGTGTCTTTTGTTTTCCATGACTTTAAATGGTGATTTTCTTTTGGGGACTCTGGTAGTTTGTCCTAAAGTTTAAGTGGTTGCAGACTGCTTTTTCTCCTTCTCCGATATTACTGAGCGGAGATCCTCAATGCACCAGAGGGGTTCTGCTGCTGTATACATGAGTGCATAATGAATTGAGGATGCAGGGAAGTGCAGTGGTTTGGCCAGACCAACAACAGGATGGTCCAGTAGTTGCTTTCGGTCTGAAACGTGTTATTAGGAGGTTTTTAGACAAATGCGAGAGATCCACTTTGTTATTTTCTTTTTTTATATATCTTCACAACATATTTATAGCTGTTAGAATGTTAAAAGGCATGAAAAGGTGTTTTAAGTGAATTTTCCTAAATTGCCATCCTAACTTTAAAGGAATATTTTCTTTCTCTGATATTTTTTGGGATGACAGACACGTGGGAACATGTTTGACTCTGTCATGGCTGCAGGAAGGTTCAGCTGGTTAGTGCTGTAGCCTCGTAGCAAGAGGCTTGTTGGTTAGATCCCTGCCTAGATGGGATCAATTTGCATGTTCTCTCTCTGCATTTGTAGGACTGGTTTCCTCCCACAGACCAAAACACGCATACGTGGTTAATTAGAGACTCTGTAAGTTTGAATGGTTATCATTCATTTCTTTTGTGTTTAATTTTAAGTAGTGTGAATTAGCTGATTCATGACAGTATTTTTTTCCTTCTTATTTGCAGTATTTTCCTTCTTATTTGCAGAGTTTTAACTACAAATCAGAGTTTCATCTGTTTTAAAATGAATAGTATTTAAGTCTGATTTTCCCTTTTCCCAGCCAAACAGTTCTGTTTTGATGGTCAAAATGGTGGATGACTTAATTAGAGCAGATTTACTCAACATCAGGATGAGTCCTAGATCCTCTTCCTGTTGTGTAGTTAACTACCGTATTTAAATTACGGCACAAGAACATCTGGGTAGGGCGACTGATTGTAGCGGTGGCGATACAAATGACATAAAAAAGAAAAGAGAGATGGAGAAAAGGCATGCTGGTGGTTGGAGGGACCGGTGACTTCTGTCAGTGCGCCCCAGGGCAGCTGTGGCTACTTTTTAGCTCATCACCACCAGTGTGTGAATGTGTTAGCCTGGCAAGCCAGACTAAATGAATGTATTATTTAGTCTGGCCATGCTCCATTGACGGCTCTCGGTTGTGGGGTGGGTTTTACCGTAGTCTTTCAAATGATCTCCGCATTCCGATGGACAATGAATGTGACATACTCTTGTTTCACTCTGTTGCATCATCCCACCCACCAGGCATATAGAGTGCCCTGATTGGCCCACAAAGCGGATAAAGCTCTGTGATTTGTTCACTAAGCAGATAGAGCACTATGATTGGCCCACCATTATGGACCAATCACAGCTCTTTATGTGTTTGAAACCCCTCTAGAGAGCTGTGATTGGCTAGCCAGAGTCCTGGTAGGAGCTGCTGAGGTTCCAATGGAGCATGCCTAGACCATTCTTTGCAAAGCAAGAATTTGGTCTAGTTCACTAGGCTATGAATGTGTGTGTGATTGGGTGAATCACTGATCGTGTTGTAAAGCGCTTTGAGGGGTTCTTTGACTTTAGAAGGAGCCATGTCAAAAATAAAGCCATTTGGGGAAAGCGAAACGAGAAGAAAAGCAACAATAACGTGACCTACGCAAATGGCACAAAAGAATGCTTAACTAAAAATGTTACTTTATGTTCTATGTCCAAACTGGTAAGTAACTAGTGCTGTTGGGGTTTAACGTCCCTAATAACTGTCCTGTTAAAGGAAGGTCTCTCTCCTGCTGTTCAAACAATTTTTCTGCTTTCGCTCTGGTCAGTCAGGGACAGATAAGCAGCCTGTCAGCTGGCTGTGTGCAGGTTTGTCCTTGTGTTGTTAATTCAGTCTTTTTGAGCGTGTCTGTATTGCTTGTTGTGTGTAACTTATTGTTTCAGAGCGGCTGATAAGATACAGTAAATATAAGCCTAGAGAGTTGTTTTAAAGCAGTGACACAGCGCAGGATGCAAATGTGCTATGGTGGTTACACAATCATGGTAATCAGCATGCTATTTACCGGCTGCTTATTTTTGCAGTCTCATGCTGTCAGCCATTAAAGCTCACTGCTGCAGGTCAGAGTCGGAGCACCTGTGCAGCACCCACCTCTCATACCCTCGCTCTACTTTATGGAGACTCATGTACAAGACCCAAAAGCCATTTCCTCCTCTCCTTGATGCAGTTCCTTATTCCCAGAATGATTGAATGAAGGCCAACTAAGATGTACTCCAAACTCGACTGCTCTGAGAACCTTTAATCTCAATGCTGTTCTTATGAATCATGTTCATCAAGATGTTATTATTTAGTCATCCCATATGATTTTTATTCACTTTACTGCTGATGTTTTAATAACTAAATATCTTGAAGAAAACTCCCAAATTCCTTCTCTTAGCTGTGCCGTGTTTTAGTTTTTAAATGAATCTGCATTATTGATAAAAACAAAAACATTATAGGAGACATATACATGTTTATTGATGTGTTTTTGGTGGGTTTATTTTTTTTGTAAACGGAGATCAATGTCAGGTCAGGTGATCATGGGTGGGGATTTAACATCATCTCCAGCACCTGCTCAGATAATATGGGAAAAGGAGGAGTGGGTGAGCGTGTTGCCTTATTTTTTTGTTGACCGTCATTTGATCGCTGTGATAAGTGTACTGTTTGATTTTGAGTAGGGGTGGGCGATATAGCCTAAAATCTATATTGCGATATAATTTGAAAAATGTGCGGTAACGGTATATATTGCGATATATGACTTTCTTTTGAATCATATGTCAAAAATGACTGTTTGTAAACATACTCACATACCAGATACATTGCAGCAGCAGAATAAACACACTTGTAACGTGGATCGAGTGTCTTAATCATGTCCCGAAAGCCGCTTTTCTCCACTGTAAGAAACTGCACCATGCCCTTACACAGGTACGTGGTAATGGCATTTGTAATATCAATCCACTGTTGATTATTTCTCTCATACTGAGTGCCTTTAGCAAATGCTTGTAAAATATCCGTCTGCTGGTGTGTAAGACCACCTTTTTCTTACCGCTCGACTGACTGGGCGTTTGTTGAGGACGCAGTTTTTGGCTTTCTTCGTATTCCACAACGTGCTTCGTTTTGAGGTGGTAAAACAAATGAGATGTATTCCCTCTATTCGCTAATACTTTCTTCCGGCATTTTTTGCAGATTACATTGTTCTGCTCCACATCCGACTCCTTAAAGCCAAACCAAGTCCAAATGACCGATGTTGCACCGGTCTTCTTTACGAGAACCTCCTCCAGCACAGGCTCCATGCTTTCAGCCTCAACAGACACCGCTTGATGACGTCATCAACATGCGCTACCGCGATAGGCAGATACAGTCAAAATCTCTACCATTGGCCAAATTAATATCATTTCTACCGTATACCGTTTAAACCACCCACCCCTAATTTTGAGCATGTTATGTTTTGAGTTAATTATTGTTAATTATAGTTAATTATTACTTTAGTAAAGTTTTTGGAAACGCAAGTTTGGAATCGCAGCTGATGTTCGTAAAGAGCGCGTCACGCCAGCCCGACAGCCTCTCAAGCGGCTTTTAGTTTGCCTCTGAAGTCGCGGAAATAAACATTGTCAAGCTTTGAGTTTTATTTTCTTTATATTTTGGAGGTTCTGCTTGTTCATTTTCTTTGTTTCTGCAGCCAATCATCTTCAGTCAACCACCCATAAAGCTGATCCCTCGTGAGTTCTGTTTTCCTAATCATAATCTGTTCTCACATTTCAGTAAATAAACTTGTTGTTTGTCAATCTCTCCTCTTACACTCGTCATCTTCTGAGTCGGCGAATGCTTCTCTGTTTTCAGCTTTGGTCTTGCCGCGGATCAGAAGAGGAGTCAGTACAAAGAGAGAGCCCGAAGTATGAACTCGACGGGTTCAGGGAAGAGCAGCACCGTGTCCAGGTCAGTTCAAATCATACACTTAAATTTGGCTCTGAGGATTAAAGGGAAGGACGTTTTAAGACTTAAAAATCTAAATTATTTAGAACATATAACAAATAAACTCTAAACTTGTTTGAGTGAGATAGGTTTTGTGTGTTTCCCAGAGGTTTTTGGTCAATAAAGCACTCTGTCGCACATTCTCTCGCAAAAGCTAAAGTTTTAGGTTGTGAAAAAAACAACCGGCAGCAATCCAGATGAACGCTGTTTGGCCAGGCCTCGTATCCTTGACCAAACAATGTGTGACGACATCAGTAATTTCCCTCTGTCATTTGCTCTTCCTGTCATGTGGGTCTAGTGGTACTTTGATGACTCATTTATTTACCTTTGGCTCACACTTCACACATGAAGCTGCTCGTCTGCTCCTCACATGCCTTCCTCGTCCTGGTTCTATTCTGCTGCGTTTTCAGTGTCAACTGAAAAAAAAATAGCCTCTACTTTTAGCTGTAATTGTTTTGTTGCACCTTTGATGAAATGCTGTACTTAACAGGAGATCTGCTATTTAGCTTCTATCTGGAAGTACCATTATTTAAGGAGGCCGTTCTGTTCTGGAAAACTTGGAAAAAGGATATTAATATAAAAAAGTGTTTTTAAAAAACTGCATTTCTGGGTGGAACATGTCAACTTGAATCTGTAGTCTCTGGGTCTGCAGCTGTGTGCTATGAGGAAATTCACACTGGGGAAGGTGAGGCTTGAAAAGTGTCTTCTTTCCAGTTATATTGTGCCCAACATTGCTCTGGAAGGTGTAAAAATGGCGACACAGCCCCTTTAAAAAAAATTAAATGACTAAATTTGTTAAAATGCTACTAAACCCACTCAACAAATTAAAAGCCCAAAGCAATACATATCTTAAGTCTTGTTTGGAAGTCATTAATGCAGGGATAACTCTAGGAAAAAGAAGTTTATTCCACTGATCTCAGAACTGCCGCTTTAACTAATGTAGATGAATGAATCTAATGAAATGCCACAAACCATATTAGAGTCAATGTTCAATAATATAAACCACCTTTAGTACCATTGAATTAAATCATGTGGGTTTCAATCAATCAATCAAAGATACTTTATTAATCCCAGAGGGTTTGAACCATGCTTTCAATGGCTGGGGTCACGTTAACTTTGCGAAAAGTTTTTCTTCCTTGTCAAATGTTTGTGTTTAAGATTGTTTTTTTAATGTGACGATCTTAGGAGTAGGAGCTAAAAGGAGCTTTTTTCTTTTTGTTAAGTAGTCGATTACTATGTAAAATAAGTGTATTAGTGTGTGTTCTCTTCATGCATGGTTCATTTAAAGGAAATATTTGTAGCATCAGTTGAGTTCAAGTTTTAGGAAAAGTACTGCAGTAATAAAAAAAACTCTGAAATGTTGAATATGGAACAATTTAATTAAAAGCTATAGTTTTTAAAAATACCTTCATGGGGCATTTAAAGGTGTGTCGAACGAAGGTACAGTATTTCTTTTAAAAGCTGTATTTAAAATATAATAATATTTTGGCTGGCATGACACTGGGTTCATGTTTACATCTGCCAGCCAATAGAAAGCAATATGGAACTAGGATTGGGACAATATTACATGTAACTTGTACCAAGCTTTTTAACCTGTAACTGTAACTTTTGTTTAATAGCATGTAATTGTTTTGTAACACGTGACTTCCACTTTGTAACTTGTAATTCTCGTTTTGTAACGCGTTACTTTTGTTTTGTAACACGTAACATTTGACACGTAACATGAAACTTTCATTTTGTAACTTGTAATTCTCATTATGTAACGCGTAACTTTTGTTTTGTAACACGTAACATTTGATACGTAACATGAAACTTTCATTTTGTAACTTGCAGAAAACAATCATTGTACAAGTTTCAAATCACTACTCTCAAAACACACATCGCAGTCTACAGTTACAAAACTCCAAGTACACAAGTACAAAACATCTTGTCCCAATTATAGCTTCCTTCCCAAAGAACCAATGACAGGCTTTGTCAGACCAGCCAATCACGAGTCTTGGATTCTTTACCAAGAAAATTCCTGTTTTTGAAACAAGCTAGAATTGGGACAAAATGTTTTGTATTTGTATACTTGAGTTTTGTAACTGTAGACTGAGATTAGTGTATTGAAAGTTGTGATTAGAAACTTGTACATTGGTTTTTTTCTGCAAGTTACTAATAAATACCTTTCATGTTACGTACCGAAGTTACATGCCACAAAACAAATGTACCTGTTACAAAATCAAACTTACGTGTTACAAAACGTGAATTACATGCTACAAAACATGTCACAAGTTACAAAACTTGGCACAAGTATAATATTGTCCCAATCCTAGTTCGTAAAAGCACCAGTGCGAGTTGCCAAACAGCGAGGCTGGCCCTGTGCAAAATGGCGGACTCTGCAAGTCAAGCAGCTGCTTCTAAGCACAGAAGATGTTATCCTTCTCAAAAGAGGAGCGATCATAAAATATCTAAAACCAGAGTTTAGGTGAAGCCTATAACAAATGGACTCAAATTAAAAAATTCACGTATCGGCAGCGAACCTGGGATCCCGACGGCTGGAAATCTTGTTCTATTGTTGAAACTACAACCTCCACACACTAGATGTCTATGGTGTTCGTTTTCCATTATCAACCTTTAATCTTAACCAAGTTCACTTTTTTCTTTGCACTTCTGCTGATATGTTTGCATCAGCACCCTATCAGAAATCATACTGATGCTTGGTGATGACTGTTAAGTGTTTCAGAGCTACTGGACATGTATGAGGAAGACCCTGAGGAAATCCTCTTAAATCTGGGATTTGGTCGAGAAGAACCTGACCTGTCTTCAAAGATCCCCTCTCGGTTCTTCAGTGGCAACTCGTCGGCACGAGGCATTGACATCAAGGTACCAGTATTAATAAGTGGCGTCCCTCTAGAAATGAAAACTTTCCGAACACCACCCCGCTGTTCCATTCTCATACTCAACATCCTGTATTATCTCTTCTCCTATTTTTAAATTTCAGGATTTTAGGAAACATAGAAATATCTAAGTTCCTATAACTGATTATATGTGTATCTATCTTTTTTCACGTGTGTCGTGTTTTCCTGCAGATCAGTCACACGCTTGTGTGCATGTGCCATCTATTTAGAGATGTGTTATCATGTCAGAGGATTACACTGTAAATCAGATTTCCTTCTTAGCTGGTTATGTTGAGTTCAGCTGGTTTCTGTCTGAGCAGCACCAAAAACCTCCTCTTCTTTATGAATAAAGTCTCGGGATAATTTTCTTGGAGCTTAATTCATCTGGTTGGGTTATTTTGAACAGAAAAAGGCACAAAATTATGCTGAATTATTGTGGAAAAAGTATACTTTTATGATGTGTGTAAATAAATAAATAAATCACTTTGTGAACTTTGTGTTTTAATGACTGTTTCACCTGCAGGTCTACCTGGGAGCTCAGCTGCAACGCCTGGAACTGGAAAACCCCAGCTATGCTCTTACGAGTAAGTACCCCATCCTGTCTGCTTTTTTGGTGTGTGTGTGTGTGTGTGTGTGTGTGTGTGTGTGTGTGTGTGTGTGTGTGTGTGTGTGTGTGTGTGTGTGTGTGTGTGTGTGTGTGTGTGTGTGTGTGTGTGTGTGTGTGTGTGTGTGCGCATGCGTGCGCATGTGTATGTGTTCACACTGCAGTGAGTGTTTGCAGCAAGAGGTTCAGAGGGTTGCATCCTGAAACTGTAGATAGAGGAAGGGAAGTGCATTGACTGTGTTTGTGTCCAGTTTCCACCATTACTGTGGTGTTCTGTGGGGTCCTTCAGCTTTTTCTTAGCTGTTCTGCCAACTGCCTGGACAACAGCACCAGTTGAAACAAAGCCCTGTTTGTTCCAAACACGCACACACGCATGCGCAAACCTGTCTTCCTAACATACTGGCCTCTTTTTGTTTTCAAAGTTCTTGTCTGCCTGAAGGTACTGGCTCACTAATTGAGAACACATACACACACACATCTCATTCTGTTGTTCTTGACAGGTTAACAGCTTTTTTGCTGCCGACTCGTATTGTGTGAAAGCGCGTCTCTAATTAGTTGAAAGTTTTTCATCTCTAGTTTCTGTCATTCATTGAATGCTATTTGAGCTGTTGCACTTCTGGAACGATGTTGGGAGAAAATAAGCCGGCAGGTCACATGTTTTGACGTAATCTACACAGATATGAAATTGCGTCCTTACAATAGTCTTTTATTTTGAAAATTGTCAGAGGCTTTACATTGAAACCGTGTGTGATTTCCTGTCTAGCCCTATGATAACTGTGAAAATTGACGCGTCCTAGAAGCAGCTCACTGCAGAAATGGGCTGCATGGTGGCGTAGTGGTTAGCACTGTTGCCTCGCAACACGAAGGTCACAGGTTCGAAACTCGGCTGCGGCCTTTCTGCGTGGAGTTGCGTGTTCTCCCCATGCATGCGTGGGTTTTCTCCGGGTACTCCGGTTTCCCCCACAGATCACAACATGCCCTATAGGTCCAAAAAAAAAAAAGTGTAAGTCGCTTTGGGTAAAAGCGTCTGCTAAGCACATAAACATAAACATAAACATAGAAATGGAACCCAGTCCTATCTTTAGCTTCTGGAACGCGTCTCAAAATGTCCGCATCGCATCTGGTTTCAGTCACCCCAACTGACTGTAATTAATTCTATTTCAAGCAGTGACGTTCTGCGCCACTGATGCTTCCAGTGTGAATTAGGCATCAGGCTCTGCTTCAGATACATTCTCATGCTTCGTGCTTGTTCTGCGATGCTAAGACAATACACTTTTATAATCGGCGTGTCTGAGACCTCAACAAAGCTTCATCTTCAGGACAGTTTGAATTTGCAGCCTGAGAGGAGCCCACTAACAGAGTGTAGACTACTGGTGAGAAGGACAACAGCTATTTCAGATTAAAGGTAACTCGATTGGAAGGAAGGAAAACAAAACCCAATGTAATGCAGACATTAGGGGTGTAACGGTACGCTGAACTCGTATTCGGTTCGGTTCAGTGTTTTGAAGGGCTCGGTTCGATTAATTTTCGGCATATTATAATATTTATTTAATATCTGAAGCAGCTCCTATAGTGAGCAGAACCAGGTGTCATCACAGGCTGCTAATCTAGCTTGATGTCTTTAATTATTTCACAGGTTATTTGCGCCACAGACATAAATATGTAGATGCCCCGTGGACTGGCGCTGTCTATTGGAGATGCCGTAATAGCTGACCGCCATTTTACATAGATTAGCCCCCAGTGCATTCATTTCAACTGAGGAAGGTACTTAAATCAAATCAAATCAACTATTTATAAAGCGCTTTCACATGGCCAAAATGGACCAACAAAGTGCTGTACAACCAATAAAAAGCACCACAATAGGACAGACATATAACCATTAAAAATACAATAAGAAATCCATTAGAAATACAATAAGAAATCCAAGTAAAATACAATACGAAAACCTGAGTGCAAGTTTGCAATCCATATCCGGCCTACTTCCCCCAACTTCAATGGCCAAACGCCAGCGAGAACAGATGTGTTTTTAGTCTGGTTTTAAAGGTTTCCAATGATTTGGATGCTTTACATCAGCTGCAGATATCAGGCTAAGCTGAGTTTAACATGTAACTGCTTAAAGTGGAACTTAACATGGAACTGACTTAAAATGGCGTTGCCTTCTTTTTATATCTCCCAGTTGTTTGAGAATCTTAGTAAACCGGATTGGACTACTTTCATAAACAAACCAGATTCTGCCCTACCACAGACGAAAGTTCTGATTGGTTGAAAACAATGTGTCATGCGTTTCCATGGTAATGCATATCAGTGTGTCTGGTGCAGCCCTGTTTATTCATTTAAACACATAACTCATGACATCTTTATTTCACAGATCATTCACCTGATTATTAATGATCAACAAATGCTTTGATTAGCTTATCACAAATAAAGTACTTTGATTAAACAATGAAGAGCGTTCTTCTTCTGTTCTTCTGTCTCTTCTCCTGGAATGTAAACATACTGAACCAAGCGTCCGACCTTGGCGATGGTACTGTGTGAAGGGGCAGCTGTTAAGGGCAGACCATTATAAACTTCATAATGCTACATCAGTATAATTTGACATAACCACGGCAAACATGCTTTCGACAATCCTTGTTAGTGTGAGACAAAAAAAAGTGTAGAAATTAAAACGAACGTGTTAATAGGGAAACAGCTGGCGAGCCATGTTTGCGCATGCGCCGTGAGCGGTTCTGGTGCTGTTTGGGCCGCAGCCGCTCGCATTTGTTTACTGTGAAGTAAAGTTGAAGTGCTGAAGTTTTGAAAACTAATTTTGAATAAAACTTGAAGAATAACTGGCAATTGCTTTCTCATTTCAAGAGGTCTTTCATATTTTATAACATGCTATTTAATATAATGGTTTAAAAACGCAAAAGAGTAATTTATTAGAGTACTCGATTAATCGATAAAAGATTCGATAGAGTACTCGATTACAAAAAATATTCAATAGCTGCAGCCCTAGTCTAAAGAGATTTCAGATTCTGTGTTCCTGAACAAATTTAAAGGTTTGTGTGGAGATCAGCCTGTGGCACTGCTGAGGTGTTATGGAGGCCCAGATGCTTCGATAGCGGCCTTAAGCTCATCCAGAGTGTTGGGTCTTCCATCACTCAACTTTCTCTTCACAATATCCCACAGATTCTCTATGGGGTTCAGGTCAGGAGAGTTGGCAGGCCAATTGAGCACAGTAATACCATGGTCAGTAAACCATTTACCAGTGGTTTTGGCACTTTGAGCAGGTGCCAGGTCGTGCTGAAAAATGAAATCTTCATCTCCATAAAGCTTTTCAGCAAATGGAAGCATGAAGTGCTCCAAAATCTCCTGATAGCTAGCTGCATTGACCCTGCCCTTGATAAAACACAGTGGACCAACACCAGCAGCTGACATGGCACCCTAGACCATCACTGACTGTGGGTACTTGACACTGGACTTCATGCATTTTGGCATTTCCCTCTGCCCAGTCTTCCTCCAGACTCTGGCACCTTGATTTCCGAATGACATGCAAAGTTTGCTTTCATCCGAAAAAAGTACTTTGGACCACTGAGCAACAGTCCAGTGCTGCTTCTCTGTAGCCCAGGTCAGGCGCTTCTGCCGCTGTTTCTGGTTCAAAAGTGGCTTGACCTGGGGAATGCGGCACCTGTAGCCCATTTCCTGCACACGCCTGTACACGGTGGCTCTGGATGTTTCTACTCCAGACTCGGTCCACTGCTTCCGCAGGTCCCCCAAGGTCTGGAATCAGTCCTTCTCCACAATCTTCCTCAGGGTCCGGTCACCTCTTCTGGTTGTGCAGCGTTTTCTGCCACACTTTCTCCTTCCCACAGACTTCCCACTGAGGTGCCTTGATACAGCCCTCTGGGAACAGCCTATTTATTCAAAAATTTCTTTCTGTGTCTTACCCTCTTGCTTGAGGGTGTCAATGATGGCCTTCTGGACAGCAGTCAGGTCGGCAGTCTTACCATGATTGTGGTTTTTAGTAATGACCCAGGCTGGGAGTTTTTTAAAGCCTCAGGAATATTTTGCAGGTGTTTAGAGTTAATTAGTTGATTCAGATGATTAGGTTAATAGCTCGTTTAGAAAATCTTTTCATGATATGCAAATTTTTTTAAATAGGAATTTTGGGTTTTCATGAGCTGTATGCCAAAATCATCAATATTAGAAACAATAACTTCTTCAGTTGTGTGTAATGAATCTAATATATATGAAAGTCTAATGTTTATCAGTACATTACAGACAATAATGAACTTTATCACAATATGCTATTTTTTTGAGAAGGACATGTAGTTTAATAGAGATGGCGTGTCTGTAAAGATTTGTGTGTTTTAATCGCATTTCTAACACTGACAGGGTTTGTGGCAACAGGGAACATCATACTAACACTTAAGCTGGAGAAATGACACAATTTTCCCTCACAACTGGTTCTGTTAAAGGTTGTTTTCATTCGAAGAACGTTTGCTGGGACAGAGCTGCTTCTTAATGGAGTCTGATCCATTTGTGGTTTCAGGAAGCTTTCTTCTTTTCCAGAACATTCTCTTTCTTGTCCCATCGGTTCCCTGGAACCCAGATTCTCTCACACGCGTTCACGCACGCTCGCATGCACGCACACACACACACACACACACACACACACACACACACACACACATCTGTGTTGTTGTTTGTTACGTAAGCTCTGTTCTTGCATTTGAAAAAATATCTTCTAGGAGAAAGACCCACAATACAAGTTTTTGTGGCTTATTCCTCATTTCCTGTTATATGATCCCCAGAACGAGCATTAATGTGGAGTCAGCAGTCCTTATGGAACTCACACACACACACACACACACACACACACACACACACACACACACACACACACACACACACACACACACACACACACACACACACACAGTGTTCTGCAGTTGCATGGAATAACGAGGAATTAGCAAGCAGGGAAGAAAGTAAAAGTGTCTACTTCATTGATCAATTTTGACAAAAAAAATAAATCTAATTGGAGTTACTTTTCTCTTGCCTTTGAAATCTTGTAAAAACATGTTTTTAACTCTGGATTGAGCTCCAATTAAAACACTTTACAGCTGATGGCTGAATAAAAGTGGTTGAACTGAAGTATTTAGAGCAACATAAATAAAACTAGCCACTTTCAAATCTGAGTTTAATTCAACCTTTTTTATTCTTTAAATTATTGCACCATTAAAATGATACACTACACAGCTTTCTACTACAATTACTGTACAAATGTATAAAATAAGGATACCACAAACATGTTGAATGATTAAACTGACATGAGCTTTTAATAAATGTTTGATCACAAATACTTTGTGTTTTTTCTGGTGTTTCAGATGTTCGTTTATTAAATTGATCAAAGGTTGTCAATAAAGGTTGAGGTCAGAGGGCCTAGATATACGAGAGCACCGCGGTGCTGTTTCTCAGCCAGGACATGAAGAGCGGTCATGCAGGGTTTACTGAAGACCGACGTCTGTGTTTCATAAGTGGCTGACATGTATTTAAAACAGTGAGGTATGAAGGGAGGAGAGGAGGAAGGCAGGAAAGCATGAAAGTCATTATCCTGTCAGAGAAGACACCGTCTGCACATTTTACACAAACAGAGGTGAGGGAGGGCGGAGCGGCGCTGACGTCTGGGTTCAGTCCTAACGCCAATAAATCCTACACTCGTTGTTTAGTCAAGTGTAAAAATAAACCCATGAAGGGACTCGGGTTTACATCATGATTATCCACTTCCATAGAAAAAATGTAATTTCTCCATTTTAGTTTAGTCTGAAATCGGTCTCTTCTTTTTTTGCTGAAGAGTTTAGGTTTTTTCTGATGGCCGCTGATATCCAAGAGAAATGTTAAAAATGTACACTACCTTAAATCTGGGCTAAAAACAGGAAGAACTGAAGATCTTTTTGTTATTTACACATAAAAGGTGTGTGAAAAATCCCCTTAGGCAGGAAAAGAGGCTCACACACATACACACACTTTATTTATTGTTACAAGCAAAAAACACATTTTAACAACACAAGATGAATTTTTATTGTTCTTTGCTGGAGTTGTCATTTGTCATGGTCTAGGTTTCTGTCATTGACCCAGAGCCAGATTGACCATTTTGATGAAATATTTAAAGAATTTCACTTTACTCAGAACGCCCTTTTAAGTTTCTGGTCTTGCTACAGTGCTGTTGTGAATCCAGATGTTTTAAATGAGCTCAACCTTTTTAGATTGTATTTTATTGAAGCCCTTTGACACCCTTTCTCAGGTCGTTTCCGTCAGATGGAGGTCCTAACAACGGTCGCTAACGAGTTCTTTCAGCTCTACAGTAACATCTCAGGACAGCAAGTCCAGCAAATCAACGTCAAGGAGCAAGGTAACCATGGCAACCACACATAAGGACCATGTAATATAGTTCAGGAGTCTCCATCTGTAGAAGATGAGTGATGTTTAGGAAATCTGATCTTAAAAATGTTTGAAAATGACTGCTCTGGGCTGTGGGTGCAAGTGGGGTGGTGCGGTGGCATCAGCTGGCATAGGTCAGACAATGCCCACACTGCCCGCTCGCCACAGCCATGGAATACACCTCATTAACACACAACACATTATTGCGTGCAGGTGGAGGGAGACTAGGGGTCTTAGCACACCTCTGTTGTTGCTTGGCTTCCTGGGGCTGGAGGCTAGGAGGGGGATCTGGCCGTCTGGTTGGGGTTTGGGGTGGCGGGTTGCTGTGCTCAGCTTTGGGCGGGGGAGCCTGCTCATCAGCACCCCAGCAGAAAGGGTCAAACTCTGGTAACCGGTAATGGTTGTACCCCATGTGCAGCAGTACCGGGACCAGAGTGAATAGGGTGTGTATGGGGAGCATGAGTGGATGTCCGGCGTGCATTTTTGTAAGTCTTTGGTTGTATGTGTATGTGTGAGCATGAGGGAGGGAGTGTGTGACTGTGTTTGTGTATGACTGTATATGTCAGGTGGGGCCTTTGACTCCTCTCTTCTCCTGGGACTTCTTTTGATGATATAGATCTCTGTCCCCCCTCCCCCTGCCACACCTGGTGGGGAGTGTGGTGCCTTGGTCTGCCTAGGTTGTGGCTCCCGGGTCTGGGGGTTTAAGATTTTTGGCATCTGCCTGATCAATCCCGGTGGCTGTCTGGTGGGATCTGGGTCCCTGGGCTCTGCTGGGTCCCCGGCGGGGGTGGTCGCCCCTGGGTCCAGGGTCGCTCGGTCCCGGGCTCGGCCGGCTAGGGGGTGGGAGGCTGCAGGCGGGCCTGTGGGCTTGCCGCCGATATCTCCCGGGACTCTGCCGGCTGCTGGTTGTGGCCCCCCGGGGCGATCCTCTGTGCCTCTCGAGGGGAGCGGGGGCTTTTCTGGTTGCAGTCTCCCTGGAGTTCCTGTGCTCTGGGGCAGCTCCTGGATCTCGGGGACTTGGAGCTCCCTCTGTCTCCTACACATCTTTGGGGGGCGGATCTGTGGTCCCTCACATTCTCTATTGGACGCTCCTCTAGAGAAACCTTACATAAACAAGCGCGTGTACACACACAGGTGCTCACAGGGTGCTCTCATAAGCATGGACTTGGGCACGTTAAACACAGGCCTTAAGACTATGGTGGGCACTTAATGCACTGTGATTTATTATTGTGTGATTGTTCAGTGAAACAATGTTGATTATATATTCATCAAGTTGACGCAGTGATAGCTTGATCTTGTTGTATTGTTGTTGTGTCCCTTTTTTTCTTCTCTCTTTCTGCAGGTCTAGAAGCAGACTCTTGTTCATTATTGTTTATTTTTGTGGACCCCCCCCCCCATCTTTTGTCTCTTCCTTTCTCTTTCACCTCTGTCTCTGTGTCTGGTCAGAATTACAAAGCATTCAAAAACAATAACAATAAAGTTTTAAGTATCAGGCGTGACATTAAAAGCAGACGATATGATGCTCCGCCTGAGAGTAAATCTGTAAGGCTTGTCACCAGCATCCAGACATCAATTCTGTTTGCTTCACAGACAGGACACAAAAAAAATAATAAAAAAAGAAAATGACTGCTTAAAGAGATCCTGTTTATTAAGCTCTGAATGTAAAAATTTAAATAAATGTGTCAAAAATTAAATCACTTCTGTAGTTTATTCAAGGTTGAAATCAGCTGACATAAATCACCTGCAGGTTGATGGTGTTTTTGTCCCCCAGGAGGAGGAGGAGATGGAGAAGATGGTGACAGTCATGTTCCTAATCTAAAGAGGAATAACTCTGTTCTGAATTTTGCTAAACGTCTAAAGACAAGCATAAGCAAACGCAACCTGCTCAGCTCTGCCTCCGAGTTGCCTGAAGAGAACTCCCCTATCCAGGAGGAGCCGAACGTAGCCACACCTGATCACGCTCGCATCAACGGCCACGCTGGTCCAGAGCAGGACAGGTCCAACGCTGACCACCTGGCACAGACTGTCACCCTCAAACCAAATGGGAGGAAAGAGCGGTCTTCTTTAGAGACGGTAACCGAGGAAACCAGCAGAGGTGAACAGATGGATCTGCTACTAAACAGCAGGTATTTAACATTTATTTCTATATTTAGTTTCTCTGAGCAGTCTTGTGTCTGTTCCGTTAATTTACTGCTGGGTGCGACAAAAGCTGTTTGGTTTTCTGCATAAAGGTCAAGTTTCCTCTTAAAGGTCACAAAACAATAAGTGGGTGTGCGATGACTCGGTCATAGAAAGTGACAAAAACCAAGTCTGGTTCACGCATTGTGTCAAAAAAGGCTACAGAAACTTGAATCAAAACACATTTTAAAGACTATAATCATAATGAGTTTTAATCACTCTTCTTCTCCTCAGTCCTGAACAGAGCATCTCTGGACCAGAGCTTCGACCAGAGTCAGCAGACCTCCAGCCAGAAGAAGAAGGAGCTCATTTGACCAAAGAGGACACGATAATTACCTCCACCCCAGAGAGAGCGGCCTCCACCCTCAGTCCACTGAAGCTAGCTCAGCTTTGCAAGGAAAACACGGACTCCTTTGATATGGAGGAGGTACCTCATACTGGTTTTCGTTCTCTTGTGACCTTTTCCTCGTGCAGGTGTTTCAGAGAAATCACGGATGCTTTTCACCAAACCAGCTCACATTAACACGCACGCTGTTTATTTCCATCTGCTCTTCCTGCGGTCGTAGACACAGCCTGCAAAGCCACTCTGTCAGTCAAATTAATGCAAATAAAGGCAGAGTCATCGTCTTACCTAATATACCAGAAGTGACATGGTAATGACCCACACAGAGTCACTGCTCAGCTGCAGAGAGGCAACAGTACTGCGAATAAAGTAAAATCATCCAGTTCTGTGTAGTCTGTAAACTTTTCTGCTTTTAATTGTTAGATTCAAACTAATGAAGATGAGGCTCTGCCGTGCAGAACTTCCAGAGCCACAGGTGAGATCTGATTTAATTGATTTGTGATCATATGATTCCCATATTAGTCATATTTGTTTTTGGTCTCTGAACTCCTATTAATCTTTATTAATACTCCCTGTTTTTGAAGGGTGAATGTACTTTCTCAGCATCCATCCTTTCATGGCTGGAGAGGTTCTGATAAAGAAAAAAATGCTTAAATTGGCCACTAACTCAGCCATCCATACATAGTCAGAGGAGGCGTCTTCCTGGCAAATTAAGACAATTAATAAAAAAAATTATGAATGAAGGAGGAAATAAATTATTAAATATATTTATATATAAAACATGTTTTGTATGTATTTCAGCATTTATTTATAGTTTTATTTCCTCATTTCTTTATTAATTTACTACTTTGGAAGAGAAGAGGAGGAGTCCTCAATGAAGTTTGTCTTCATCACAGAAAAGAGTCTGCACTGCCACCTGCAGGGCAGATGGAGTTCTACATAAATATATGTTCTCTTCTCTCCGTCAGACTTGTCCAGGACTGTGAGTCAGCAGTCAGACAGCAGCGGTTTTGCTGAGGAACCTTCTGTTTACTCCAACAGCAACCTCAAGGTTGGTGGTTGGACTTCAGGAATAGTGATAGAAGTAGATCAGGAGCTACTGCAAGCCTCAGTGGAAACTAAACGTTGCCAGTTTAAGGTAGCGCCAGATCAGAGCCAGATTTTCTGGAATATGTTGTCAATGTTGATCTATATAATATGAATTTCACTTTGATAAATCTGTGACAAAAAACAAACTTTTTCCACAATACTCTTTTAGTAGCTGTTAAATGACCCCAAGTGACCTCTGACTTAGGTTATTTTATACACCTTCAGGCACTGGGCAACTTGTTTAGTATGTGACCAACACGTGATCTCACCTGGAGTTAGCTGTGTTCGGCTGTGACCCATTTATCTATTTATTTACAGTTTATGAATACACTGCAAACAGGAAGAAAATGTGTTTCCTTTTGTTTACCAAGTAAACAAGCTGTTTCATATGTGGTTTGTGGAGATTGATCAATCGACCTTTGAAGAGTAAGTCACCCCCAAATCACTTTTTTTCTTCTGATAAACTATATAAATGCGTGTCTAATCGTGCTGCAGACACGTGTCGTCAATAATTTTGCACTTTAGTGCATTTTAGTTCAAATTTAAATTTTCTGCCTAAAACTGTTAGTGTTGTGTCGTTGTCAGGTAAAAACTCTGCACTGCAGTTAAATTTCATCCGCCATCGCTATTGGCTAAGAGGTACCATAGAACGTTAGCTGATACATATGATGTCACAATGTCGTTGTGAGCCTGTGTGTGCATTTGTTAGCGGCTCCGCCCTCTCGGTCTGCTAGGCAACAGCATTTGTTGCATTTTTCAAACAGGAAGTGGGAGTGGAGTAATACTCTGGTAGGGGTTGACTTGCTCTTTAATGTCATGGTCACTTTTTTTAAACGAATAACGAGATTAGAAGGTGAATTCAACTCCAGATTAGAGACAGAAATCATAACGAGACCACAAAAAGACAATATAAATACAAAAGGTCTTGCTTATGAAAATGTGTAAATATTGTACATCTGATGCTACAAATATAGAAAATTTCACTTTTATACTGTATTGTACAAGCGTTTTGAAGTTTTGTTCATATTGTTTGAATGCAAAATTTTCAATAGTGATGAAATTAATGCAGACGTTTTTGCAGTTTTCTAAATGTCTCGTTCATTTGAGAGATTATCAAACAACAATTGCATTAATTAAAATGGTAACTTTGTATTTTTCCCTCTTTATTGAACTTCATGTATTAAATGAAATATTTTTCTCTGTGCTGGTTTGTAGGTGCAGGAGAGTAGTGACAGCTGTGACAGCGAGACCACTGTGACTTCGCATCCTTCACAAGATATAGCCACTCCCCATGCACTGGACCAACCAGCATTTGACCTGCCAGACGGCAAAACGGAAGAGGCGGGGCCTGGTGATGCACTTCAGGCTGATGGGAGAAGCTACTCCAGTGAAGAAGATGCACACAATCTGAGTTCAGAGCAGTTTCTACAGTACACGGTTCATTCTCTTCCCAGGAGCAGACCTAAAGAAGAGCAAGTCGAAGGCAGAGCCAGAACTGATCACGATACAGAACCACAACCCTCGCAGAACCAGTCTGAGCAAGAACCAGAACTGGAGCAAACCCAGAGTCGGTCTGATTCAGAAATAGAACCACAACACGCTGAGCAGCCGACAGAGACAACAGCAGATACTCCCTCAGAAGGAGCTGATGCCCAAGTGGAGGCGACGCCCCGCGATGATTCTGCTTCATCATTTTCAGTTCTCAGTGCACTAAATCGAGCCAAACGGAAACATCAGTGTCGGTTAGGTCAGCACAACAGCATCCAGGGTGACGATCTGTCCCAAACCCCAAAAGAAGGAAGAAGGCGTGGGTTCATTCCCATGCAGAGGTCCTCCTCCCTGCCGTCCTGCCTTGTCTCACCCCCCAGAGTTGTGTCCTCAGTCAAAATCCAGTTTAGACAGGGCCAGACATCCTGCACGCCACCTAGGTACTCCTTTAAATACACTGCAGAAGATGGAGAGGATAATGGAGAAGAGGAGGTGCTGGAAGAGGAGGAGAAGGAGCAAAGCAACTGTCTGTCTACTCTGATTATCAACCCTGGTGTTCAAGAAAGAACTGCTGCCGTTCCCCCTAAGCCCATCCCTCCCTACCTGCGAGGCTCACACGGTTCTCCACATAGTGCCAGCCCTCCCCCTAACTGGTCACCAGTATGCCACCCACACTCTTGGAGCACACAGAGCGTTCCTGATCTCACTTCCAGTCATCATCAGCCATTCCAGCAGAGCATGGGCACCAGTCACAACCAGCAGAGCTGGACTTCAGGGCAGTTGATGTTTCCTACTCAAAGCCCTTCAGTGGTGTTCTCTGATCCCAACTCCCATCCCAGTCCTGGATCTAACACCAGCCCTTTTCCCTTCTCTGTGCACCCCTACGCTAACTCTCCTTACCTCCACAATCAGCACAACCCTCCCTTAAATCACTACTTCAGTCTAACCAACCTCCACCAACCTTTCACCTCCCCAGGGCCCCCTCATGGCAGCCTCACCAACTTGCATCAACCTCCAACTTCCACAGTTCCTCACCCATTCGGGTTGGGTCCTGGAACTCCTCCAATGCACCATCAGATCTACAACCCTCCGTACCCTCACCAGTTACCCTACCCTACACTACATGGCTCCCAGTATGCCTCACCGTACTACACCCCTCCAGGGTATAGTTTGAACCCCCACCTTCACCCAGGACTCGCTTATTCTGCTCCCCCAGGCTTGGCACCGGGACGCAGCCCATCCAGTACAGAGATGCAGCTGAGGAAGGTCCTGCATGACATCAGGGGAACAGTCCAGAGTCTGAATCAGGTCGGTCCTTCTTTTGGTTTAGATTTTAAACCTATGTTAGATTTATGCCTTTAAGATGATTCTGATTTAGTTTTTATCACTTTTCTTATATTTTAAAGAAGTTGTGAAACTGTTGTCCAAGTCAGCAGTGTCTGTTCTAGCTGTAGATGTTTCTCTTGTTTTCCTCCATGACGGCTCTCGTTTCTCTGTTCTTCTTGCAACATTTTTTTTATCCTCTAGACTCGAGCCAACTCTCCGGATCCATACGGTGAGCTCAGAGCTGCTTCTAGTCAGCAGGTACATCTAAAAACATTTTCTTTTCTTCATAAAAACAATACAAATCCAGCAGCATTTTGTCCTTCAGACTGGGAGATGTTCGAAACATTTTCAAGATATCTTTTGTAAGAAAGTTTAAGATATCAGGGAGGTTCTTCCAGTGGTAGCCCCTTATGTGCTCAACATTATTAACTCTAGCCTTGTTTCAGGAATTATACCCTCCTTTTTAAAACATGCTGTGCTTCAACCACTACTGAAAAAATCTGGCCTAGACCCAACTGTCCTCGGGAACTTTCTCCCAATTTCAAAGCTCCCTTCTTGTCAAAAGTGTTGGAAAAGGCCCATTATGCCCCATCTGAACAATTTTGGTGTCTTGGATAAATTTCAGTCTGGTTTTAGACAATATCACAGCACAGAATCTGCTCACTTCAGGGTTTTTAATTATATTATTTTAGCCACTGATTCCGGTTCCCATGTTGCCTTGGTGATGTTGGACCTCTCAGCTGCATTGGACACGGCTGACCATGACATTTTATTGTCTCGCCTTGAGAATTTGGTCGGCATTAAGGGATCTGCACTTGACTGGTTCCGCTCCTATTTCTACAACAGGTCTATAAGAGTTAGGATGGACGATTGTTCATCTCCCTCTGCTGCTCTTCCTTGGGGTGTGCCACAGGGGTCTATTCTCGGCCCCCTTTTTATTTAGCATTTATATTCTTCCACTGGGACTGATCTTTAGGAAGTTCAACATTAACTTTCATCTTTATGTGGACGACTGCCAGATTTATGTTCCCTTGAAGACTTTTACCTCCATCCAGCTGCTCCTTGATTGCCCGAGTGAGGTTAAAGACTGGCTGGCTGAACTTTTCTGCTGCTGAATGATTTTAAGACCGAGTTTATTGTTTTTACTCCTAATGGCTCGTCTTCCTCCGCTCCTGATTTTTCTGCTCTTCCTTTTAAAATTAGTCAAACAATTGTTAATCTTGGAATTAAAATGGATGCAGCTCTAAAAATGGACCCTCACGTTAATCACGTGGTTAAATCATGTTTTTATCAGCTGAGACGTCTTTCCAAACTAAAACCCATTCTGAATCGGTGCCACCTCGAGACAACCATTCACGCTTTCATAACCTCAAGGTTGGATTACTCCAATGCAATTCTGTTTGGTATGTCAAAAGCCGCATTATCCCGCTTTCAGCTGATACAGAATGTGACCGCAAGATTTCTGACTAATACGGGCCGTGGGCAACACATCACTCCAATTTTAGCAAGACTTCACTGGCTTCCTGTGCACTATCGCAAACGTTTTAAAATTTTATTGTTTGTTTTTAAGGCCTTGAATGGTTTAGCACCACCTTACATAGCCGAGTTACTCACTCCTTATATGCCGGGTAGGACTCTCCATTCAGGTGACCTACACCTACTACAGATTCCCCGTCTACGCTGCAAAACCCGTGGTGAACGAGCTTTCTCTGTCTGCGCTCCTAAACTCTGGAATGATCTCCCGTTGGATATCAGACTCTCCCCCTCCATTGGGGTTTTTAAGTCTTTTATTCCCTTGCTTTTTTTTACTGCCTAGCTATTTTATCTAGGTTTATTTACTCTATTCTTTTACCTATTTTATTGACTTCTCTTGTTTGGTTCTTTGTGCTATGCTCTAGCTGTTTTATTTTTTTATATGAAACCTTGTATGTTATTATCCCTGTACAGCACTTTGTTCAGCTCACATGCTGTTTTTAAATGTGCTCTATCAAATAAATGGAAATGGAAAAAAAAAAGGAAAATATCAGTTATGTGCTTTGGTGGTGGCTGCAATCAGACCAACCTTTAACTGATCAGTGCTGAAGGAACTTTTACTCAGAAACACGCTTTAAAATAGGAAAAGGGAAAAGTAAAGAATTACAGTTGATGGTATAATGATAAATTGATTTTTTCCAAAAATTTAAATGATCATTCAAAATAAAAAATAAATTATGTATTGTCGATATCCTAACTCTGATTTCTAATTTCACTCTGGAATTAATAAAGTATCTTTGAATTGAATTGAATTGAGTCCAGGGTTGATTGTTATTGCTACTTTTATCAATAAAGTTTACATCTCTATTTTCAGTCTTTGGCAGAGTATCAGCAGAGGAGGCGGAGCCTGAACATCTTCCGCAGTCAGATGACAGACCTGGAGCTGTCAATCATGCAACAGCAGGCTCTCTTCTACAGACACCTGAGTCCCGCCGACAGGTGATACACAGAACACCAAACAGGCTTATGCCCTGCAGCAATCTGAAGTAAAGTAAACGTGTTTTTTTTTTCTTGCAGACTGGAGGTGGAACAACTTCGGGCTCTAAGGTCAGCGGTCCGAGAGGAACTCCGGGAGCTGGAACAACAGCTGGAAGACCGACTCTTGGATCTGACTCCTTACTCACATCATGCTGTAAGAACACATGGCTGCATCTGCAACTAAATGACAGACAGACAGTCTGGATGTTTTTGCTGTAAAACTACAAATAAATATGTGGGCGGGCAGTAATCAGTCCTGGTGTTTCCTCAGGATGTTCATAGAGACACTAGTGTTGAGAACCTGTCCACTGCATCAGCACTGAGAGCTATGGAGCCGGTCAGCACACACACTCACGCACGCACTCTAAGCAGTTTGTCCAAAAATCATAAGATCCTATCTGAATTCCTTTTTTCTGTCAACTTCCAGGTGTCGGACCTCCTCAGAGAGCAGTTCTTCCTCCAATCAGAGCTTGGTTACGACGGCCACGGCCCCTCCAGCCGCTCACCGAGTCCAGCCAGAAGGGACGATGGCAGGCAGAGGCAAGAAGTGTATCGGGCATCGGTCAGCATAACCCCTGCTCCTCCTCCTCGACCCAACGCACCCACTGGGCAGCAGGAGGAAGGACAGAGACATGGTGAAGAAGCAGAGGGAGAAAACGAGGAAGGACAGGAAGAAGCATCAGAGACGGAAGGTGCAGCAGGATTAATCGGAGCTGACAACCTTCAACATCTCATTAGAGAGGTAGTTTTTATAGAAACTGGAACTGGTGGATTTGTTTTTCATGCAGAATTTTCCTGAGCTGTATGAAGACAGGTCTTCATCAGACACAGGTTGCAAATCTAAAGAATCTTTCATTTGGACCATCCAGTCAGCAAAAGATGATGGCTTTACATTTGTGCCAAACTGTCTTTCACTTTTCTTCTAAATGTAGTTAAATTTACCATCAGATCTGACAGAAGAGTCGACCTTTGAACTGTTTTCCTCCTCTCTCATCTTCCCTTCAAGCTGCTTTACAACTCGTATGCATCCCAGCTTCTTGCGCAGCCATTCTCCTGCACTCCTTGCCTAACAGGCTCAACTGGAATGGCGGAAATGTTCCAAAACACTATAAAGTGAAATAAAAATTACTTACAGATGGAGATAATTGTCCATCTTCTGCCATATTTAGAAATGAATGCAGTTGGAAGGTTATTTTGCTCTCAATTCCTAGATTTTCAGGTTTGATGGCACAAAAAATCAGAACATAAAGACCTCAGACTTTACCCTAAAATGGGGCAATATAATTGTACTCAAAAGTTTTAATATTGGTCTTTGTTCTTCTCACTACTTAGCCCATTCCTCTCCTTATTTTCTTTTTCCAGATTCGAAATAGTGTTGCACAAGAGGTCCGACGGGAGATCTATCAGGAGCTGCTGGCAGCTGCATCACCACAGCGCTCACCCTTACCCACCAGGCGACACCCTCAGTAACCATGACAACAGCAGAGCTTTTCGTAAACCACAGCCTGAACAAACCACTGTCTGTCTTAAACACTGTATGAGCAACACTGTGGAACACCATGTGCTTTTATAACACTGTATGTCTGCAGGCACTGTTGATGAGCCATCATCTACATGTGATAAACCCTGCCCACTACACCTGTGGCTCCACCCACTCCCACCGCCCAAATGTTTCGACTACGACTAGTATAACCGCTGCTGACAGCGTCCTGCTTTCATACAAGAAGTTAGTTCATTCTAATTAGGACAATATCAATTTACAAAAATGACTATGTTGATTTAGCCAGAATTTAAATTTTTGGCAATAAAGCCATTCACAGAACACAGTAATGTTATTCTGCTGTTGCTTTGGGACTTTTAGACCCGACTCGCATTTTTGCTCCCATCAGCAACAGGAAAAAAATGTATTGTTTTACAAGAAATAGCTGGAAAATGTAATTTCCCCTTTTGCCTTCAATTGCTATTTGATATGATTTCGCTGGTTAAAGCTGTGAGCTCAACTAACTGGTTTTAATGTTTTGGAAGCTGATGAGGCAGAAATCAGGCCAAGAAATATCTTCAAAAACATCCCAGCCAAATCATGAGAACTTTGTTTTTGTCAGGCGTGGACCTGGCCTTTTCCATGTCTGATCATCTCTGTTCTGTACAGCTGAAATGCCTTAATCACCTTGGCCTACTTGGTGGACATCAGCATTTATTTTTATTCTTTTCATGCACATTTCACCTCACTCTAGAATGTCTAAAGAGAGTTTTATTACAAACAAATATATTTATGTGTGTGATTGCGATGCACCATCAGCTTCATCATCCTCATCATCATGCTTCTGTTCCTTTCACTTCCTGTTGAGCACTTTAGGAAGCAATCCAAATTTAAATTCATAAAGTTAATCCTCTTGAGGCAAAAGTTCCTGGAGCAAGTATCTGAGATCTAAATTCTGGAAGCATCTTCCTCGAAGCGTGCTGTTTTTATTTATATATCTGTATCTTAAGCAAATAAAAAGCCACGTTACACAACGCGTAGTTTATAAACTCCTAAAAATATCTGACAAAGGTTGCGTCGTGTCAGAAGTGTAGAGAGCCGTGATCTCATGTGGGGCTGAGACCTGAATGAGGTTTCAGTAAGTTGTCATAGCGACTGTGATGAGGATGGTGACATGTCAAGCGGTTGGACAGAGGAGCTTGGTGAGCTTCAGCTGTGTTGGCATGTTAGCTTCAGTTTAATTAGCGATTAATCTGTGTGCAATACTGTGAACACAAATGGATCATGTGATAGAGATCGTTAATCGCTCACTGCTAACATTGTGATGAACTTCTGACACAGGAAACTCTGAGGCTTTTATTGCATCAGCCAGCAAGATATTTACTTTCCCTAATTGCTTCCTGTTACTCTTTATAATCATTAAAACTTGATTGTAGTTTATTTGTTTTATCAGTCATCAGTGACCGAACTGTAAACGTGTAGGTTGAATGTGATTAGCTGAGAGACGTGTGAGTCAAAGCTTCCCTATGACTTCGTTTTTTATTTTTTTTTTATTGTTCTTTTGGGATTCTTCTGTAGCACAAACTCTTGTTAAAATTAAATTGTTTGTTGGGAGCGTGCATGCGTGTGCGTGTGTGTGTGTGTGTGTGTGTGTGAGAGAATGTTGATAAACTTTTAGCTGAAGCTCAAATTTTGACTCACTAATACAAAATGGAGCTTTAAGACCTAAATGTAATCTTAAAAACTTTAGAGCTCAGTCTCTTTATCGTGTTGACGGATTGTTATTACCACTCTCCCTGATGAATACTCACTGATTTGTTTTCTTTTCGTAGATCAGGAATGCTCTACTAATTCCACTCTCCTGTCTGAATGTTGGTGGTTGTCTGTTTCTGTCTAATAATAATAATGTGTATTTTGTACTGATGGGTCTGAAGTCAGATGTGGGGAGGGGTCACTTTAGAGATGAGAATAATAAAGATATATTTATTTTCAGTAGTGGCGAGTGTGTGTTTGTGTTAAACACTGAGCTGATAAGTCCACTTTTATTATTTAACCATTATTAATTTATATACTGAATAATATCCCATGTTTATATTTTGACTAAAAATTGAGAGAAATTTAAATGCTGTAAAAAGATTCAGGTTTTCTCTAAAAACTTCAAAAACACCTCCCATATATGGAGCTGTAAGTTTAAGTACTTTATTCATTAAAACATCACAGGATAACTCGTATTCTGTGGAAATGGACAATAATGATATAATTGTTTTATTATAATTATGGAAAAACCTGAAATATGTAGAATAAAGAATATTGGTAGAAATAATGTAGCTTAAAGAGCAAGTCACCCCCTGCCAGATTCTTACTCAACTCCCACTTCCTGTTTGAAAAATGCAACAGATGCTTTTGCTTAGCAGACCAAGAGGGCAGAGCCACTAACAAATACACATACTCACGACATTGTGACATCATAATGTACCATCTAACATCATAGTGTACCTCAGCCAATAGCGATGGCAGATTTAAATTCAAATGCAGTGCTAAGTTTTTGCCTGACAACGGTTCATCGCTGACAGATTAAGGCAGATTATTTAAATTTTAACTAAGATTTACTAAAGTGCCAAATTATTGACTACATTTGTCTACAGAACAACTAGACACTCATTTATATAGTTTATCAACAAAAAAAAAGTTTATTTTTAGGGTGACTTGCTCTTTAAAGAGCAAGTCAACTCCTGCCAGATTCTTACTCAACTCCCTCTTCATGTTTGAAAAATGCAACAAATGCTGTTGCCTTGCAGACCGAGAGGGCGGAGCCGCAAACCAATACACACACACACACAGGCTCACAACGACATTGTGACATAAGGACCAGTTTACATCATAGCATACCTCTTAGCCAATAGCAATGGCAGATTTAAATTCAAATGCAGTGCAGAGGTTTTACCTGACTACGGCGGACACTGACAGTTTTAGGCAGAATATTTAAATTTTAACTAAGATGCACTGAAGTACCAAATTATTGACCACACATGTCTGGAGCACAATTAGACACGCATTTATGTAATTTATCAGCAAAAAAAAAGTTGATTTGGGGGTGACTTGCTCTTTAAAGAGCAACTCGCCCTCTACCAGATTCTTACTCAACTCCCACTTCCTGTTTGAAAAATGCAACAAATGCTGTTGCCTAGCAGACAGAGAGGGCGAAGCCGCTAACAAATACACACACAGGCTCACAACGACTATGGCTGTGTTCGAGTTGAGCCAGTTCTGCGCAGATTAGACCAGCGGTGATCAGCGAGTAGTGCTTGCCGGTTAGATTTGTGTCCGACTTGACGCCGACTTGCTCTGACGTCATGCCTACGTAGGCAACGATAACCTTGTGAGAACAAGGCGGCCGCAGATTTTAAAGCAAGGCGCTGCAGTTGCTCTCCCTCGGCTGCTAAACCTAGGAGATGACGGGAAACGCCTGGCTCTCACCGAAGGCTGGATTAATCATAAGGGCAACTGGGCAATTGCCCAGGGGCCCACGAACTCTAAAGGGCCCAGGGCAGCAAGGGCACGAGCAAAATGCTGTATCTGTAATCTCCCGCTTTATATTAAACTAGGGTGACCATATGTCCTCTTTTCCCCGGACATGTCCGCTTTTCACTGTCCGGGGCGTCCAGACTGGAGGTTCTTGATGAAAATGTCCGGTTTTTCATCTAGGAGCAGGGATCGAATTATGGGGGAGCTGGATATCCTACACATCCAGGGGAGACGGAAAAACGTTTTCTACCTATATTACATCGTTCATGGACTCTTTTGAGCAGAGAGCGGCAGAGCGATGATCGTTGGTGTTCAGCACTCCAGGTTGCTGTGTCCAGCGCACGGTCCATTCTCAAAGTGGCGCAACCAAAAACTATAACACACGATCGTTCATGTCCACACATGTTCTCTACTTTCTGTCTTATTTGTGCCTGAAGCACTCTGCTACTGCGGAGCTCATCACCTGTGCTGCGGTGATTTCACCTCACTGACGCAGCATCGAACCACGCTCACTGCTTTGCGGTCAGGAGATCCCTTTGATCTGCTCAAAAGTAACTGATGAGGTGAAAAAGTAAGGCCCTGTCCACACGTAGCCGGGGGATCTGCCAAAACGTAGATATTTTCTACGTTTTGGCCTGCCATCCACATGAAAATGGAGTTTTTTCACATGAAAACTGATCTTTTTAAAAACTCCGGCCAAAGTGAAGATCGGCGTTTTCTCAGTTTTGGGTGTCTGCGTGTGGACAGACAAAACCGGAGTTTTAAGGTCCGCAACGTCGCTTACCGCGACAAAAAAATGCTGACATCATGTGTGCGACCTGTGTTTACACCAGCCGACAGCATGGATGCCCTCAGAGCTGCGCTCGCTTTTTGCTTGTTTGTTTTTGCAAGCGGAATTACTGCTCATTGCGGAAGACCACAGACGAAGGACGAGGTTAAGAACGGGGGAAGTACTGCCGCCTACAGGTCTGGCATGTCCTTAACAACGTATTTATCCGGGTACGTGTGAACCATCGACATTAATATATGGACAGTGGGTTTCCATAGGCTCCAATATCACTTTTTGAGGCCAAATGGGAAGTGGCCACCACCGCCATTTTGACCGTGTCACAGGTTCCGTCAAGCCCAGACAATTCCATAAAAGGGAAGAGAGGAGGAGCTGAGGGTGGGGCTGTAAGGCTGGGATCAACTGACGACACCCGGTCGAACTAGCTACAAGCTAATCTGAAGCTAACCCTGGCTAACCCAAAGCGAACGCGGAGGTGGGAGCTAAGCTAATGGAGGTAGCAACCTAGCCACAACCGGATTTAACTTTGCACAACACCAGAGCTTCTGAGTCAGAGATACGCCGGGCTGACCGCTGGGTAAAACCGGGTGGAACACAGAGGTCTCCGAGACCTCCACAAGCTGGAAGCCGCACAGCAGACAAGCGCTGCTGCGGTCTGAGATGCGCAGAGCTGCCGCTGGGGAGAACCGGGTGGAAAGGTTTCCATCCCCGAGCTCCACAAGCCGGCAGCCCGCGCAGAAGACAGAAGCCGCAATCAGACAGAGATGCGCCGAGCTGCGGGGAGGGGAGAACCGGGTGGAAAACATCGGTCTCCCGAGAGTGTGAAGTAAACTCAGACGAAGTAAAATCCAAGCCGATCCCGTTCACGTTCATGGTTAAGATCTGTGTTTGTTTAGCTTCTGTTACCTGCCAATATGGCATCTACTAACTGAGAGTCACGTGGGGTCCGGAGCTCTATACTGAAGATTTTCCTCTATCTCTAACCAGATTTAAGCTACAAGCTCTTTAAATAGTGATGTAAAAAATTCATATTTTACTGAAAAAACTATGGCGCCTAAAGGGTTAATTTTCCAATAAAATGTCCCTGTTAAGGAGCTGCAGCTCGCCTCCCTACTGGAGTCTCACAGTTTGTTCAAAACTCACCAAGTTGGCAGATTAAGAAAACACCAAATGAAAAATCTTAGCTTTTCCAGCATTTTGTTAAAGTTAAAGGAAAGTTGTTTAAAATGTGGAAGTAGCCTAGCAGCTAATGAATGAAGCACCTCACACCATCAACCTGTGTTGACTTCCGCTTCCGGTCGGTAACAAGATGGCTCCTGTGCTTGGCTTAGCCGCAGTCACCGGCCACTTTTTCAAACTTTTCTCTACTAACCTCCTCTTTTCCACCTTGCCCCTGTCTGCGATCCTCTTCAGTCGTGTCCATGCTACCATCTTCTATGATCGCCAGACTCTTTTGTCCTTTCGTTCGTTCACGATCGCCCAAGATGCACCAAGGACGTACCTCACTGTTTGTTTATCTGAGTGGCGCACTGGCCCGGAGCCAAGAAGAAGAAGAAAATATCATTTCTATTGCGCCTCTCAAGATAAAAATCACGAGGCTCTTCACAAAAACAAAAAATAAAAAAATTGTAAAAATATAAAAAAGCATTTAGAAAATGTTTAAAATATATTTAAAATGAGCAAGAATAAGCTATTGCGATTTAAAAGAAAAAATGTTAAGAAAGAGAGAGAGTGAACAGGAAAGAGGGAAATCAGTGGATCCTGAGGAAGGTGGAATAGGTGGGGAGAGCAGAATAAAGAGAGAGTGGTGAAGAAGGTCATCCAAAAGCCAGCTTGAACAAGTGAGTCTTCAGCTGCTTTTTGAAGGAGACCACTGAGTCCACTGATCTCAGGCTCAGGGGGAGAGAGTTCCAGAGTCTGGGGGCCACAGCAGCAAATGATCTGTCACCTTTGGTCTTTAGCCTGGTGCTGCACAACCAGTAGGCTTTGATCACTGGACCTCAGGGACCTGCTGGGGGGTGTAGGGACTAAGAAGATCACCAATGTAAGATGGTGCTTGTCCATGTAAGGCCCTATAGACCAGAACCAGGATCTTGAAATGAACCCTGAAGTTGACTGGCAGCCAGTGAAGCTGGAGGAGAAGCAGGGTGATGTGGGTGTGTTTGGAGGACTTGGTCAGAAGCCGAGCACAGGCATTCTGAACCACCTGTAGACGGTTCAGGGAGGTTCTGCTCAGACACGTGAAAAGAGAGTTACAGTAGTCTAAGCGTGAGGAGATGAAGGAGTGGATAACTGTCTCAAGTTCAGAGCGGGACAGAATGGGACTCAGCTTGGCAATGTTCCTGAGATGGAAGAAGGAAGAGCGAACAAGAGAACTGACATGAGAATCCAGGGTGAGAGCTGGGTCAAATGTCACGCCAAGATTCCTGACGGAAGGTTTGGTGTGGGAGGCAAGCTGACCAAGAGAGTCTCTGACTTTGGGAACCAGCTTGTCTGGGGCACAGATGAGGATCTCAGGCTTATCTTCATTCAGCTGAAGAAAGCTCCCAGCCATCCAGGCTTTGATAGAGATCCAAGCTGGTTCCCAAAGTCAGAGACTCTCTTGGCCAGCTTGTTTCTCACACCAAACCTTCTGTCAGGAATCTTGGTGTGACCTTTGACCCAGCTCTTACCTGGATTCTCA